GGAGGCAAAAATCACAAAGAATGAATGAAATCCTTTGATGATTGTGGTGGATATTCTGGCTAAAAAGAGGGGACAAACAAAGATGGGTGATGGATGGTGTATTGGCCTTATATTCTTGGTCATATGAGGTGACTGATTTAGTAGGTGGTGTATCAACAACAACTCAAATGTCCCTTGGCTTTTTGTGGTTGTTTATTCAGCCCTAGTAGGGAACATAAAGGGGATAAGAATGGGAATATCTTGGTTGATGTTGTGTTGGGATAATGAGGGATATTTGGCCTGGGATTTATAGAAAAGGATAGAAGGTTTTATTTGTTTATTAAAAGGTTTAAAAGAAAGAAAATAACAACAAACAAAGGTTGTGGTTTACACACTCTTATTTTCGGCCAGGGCCTAAAATAGGAGTAGGAAAACTTTATTTTGAAAAGGAAATATTTTGGATGTTTAGGGAAGGTATGGAGAGTGTGGGCTCAGCCTAGGGTGGGTGTAGGACAACCATGGTGTTGGGTTGGGTTCTAAGACAGGAAAATGGAGAAGTTTCAACCCAATTAATGTCACCACACTTGGGCTTTATTCCCCTGATCTGTCTTTCCCTTGGCGGGCTACGGAGAGTCTTTGGGCATGCTCCCGGATATATATCATTAGGATGTAAACAGATCTTACCTCTACTTGTGGGCCGTGATGGATCAGGTAAAGGGAACATATTACTCCCTCCCTTCCTAAGACTTTGTTTGTTTTGATGGATTTGAAAGGAAATAAGTAGGAAAGAAATAAATGGAAAAGAAAGCATGCAAATCTTTTGTGTGTTTTGACAGAGAAAAATGAAGGAGAGAAAAAGATTAAGCGGAGCCCACAAATTTTTCTCTCAATTGATGGAGATATTTCCGTACAAGTGTGCATTCATTTTTGCATATTCCAATTTTTCCCTCATTATTCTTTTTTTTACTTAGAAGGGCAAAAGGTCATTTTATCTATTTTCACTTTTTCTTTCCACTCTATTTCTTTCACATGTCTATCCATTCAAACACTTCCAAAATCCACCCTAATTTCACTCTACTTCTTTTCTTCTCTAGTTCTTTCCACTCTACTTCTCTTCCTACCCAAACAAACCATAAATAAACTTTACATTTTGGTTTAAATTGTTTGACTAAATTTATTTTCATACGCTGCATATGTTATGTGCATGCATCACAAGGGATAATGTGTATCTTGGAAATAGCCTCTATACTTTCTAGTAGGGGTAAGATTCGGGTGCACACACCCTTCCCAAACCCCACTTTTGTGGGATCCTACCGGGTTGTTGTTGTATCACCGGGGATAATGCATAGAGCACTACACCTCGTGCGCAGGCAGCGAGGCACGCTTTATTTTAAACAAAAATAGCATGTTTAAAATTAGCATTAACTATGACATTACTACTCAAATGGCATCGCATAAAGCTATGTTGTGCACGCCTAACGTACATCGCACACGTCACAACGGATAATGCACATAGCACTGCACCTCTTGCTCATCACGCTCGGAGCGTGCTTTTCACAACTATGGTTACATGCTCAAGTGTCACTGATCTATAATATACTTTTGAACTCGAATGTGGAACAAGATATTCTTTCTTACTTTCCAAGAGATTAAGATATTAAAAAAAAAGGTTGTCCTTATAATGGCTTTATCCTACAAACATCAAGCCCAATCAACAAGATTTTGACAACTCACAATAGTTTTACCCAGGTGGGGGAGAAACACAAACTCATTATTTCCTAAGTATTCAAGATCCAATATTTCTTCATAAAATAATTGCCCCTGACTAAGATGGTAAAGCTTCTCTAACAAACCAAGGTACATAAATGAAAAAATAAATGTGCTCAACGCACAATATGACATAGAAAATAATGATGTCTGAGTAAGTTATTGGGTACGAATTGTGTGTAGCTTAGATACCAATGCCAATCAGCTAGATATGAGTGAATTATTTGAGGCGTCTTAAACTGGGTCAATAGGCATATCCTAGATTTGTCAAAACCCAGAACAATCATCCTCTAGTTGAGGCACAGGACACACAATTTCATCATTAGCAAGTATGCAAGTAAGGTGAAATCACTCTAACTCCCACTAAGAGATAATGAGCATTTTAGCGAAAGTTAGTTAAGATTCAATTGAGACTCACATATTTTTCTCTTGGGTTTTGGTAAGGGCATTAAAGTGGTGTGGTGAGAGAAATATTTTACAAAAAGGTGAGAGCACAAAAGACTTTTGTTGTGCATTTGAGCACTATTATACTCTCTCCATCTCCAAATAAACTTTACAATTTCTATTCACAAACCTATTATATCTTTTTTATTTTTATATTTGCATTGATCATTTGTTAAAATAATATATTCATGTCATCTCTTATTTTCTAGAACATGTGATATAGTTTTAAATATAGAAATTTAATTTCTAATTGTATACCAATATTCAAATAAAATGAATTGGACACAAAACACTCAAAAATCTTCTATCTTCATCTCCAAATAAACTGGACACACACAAAAAGAGGCTTGGACATGTGGAGAGAAGACCAATAGAGCATCCTGTGAAAAGGGTTGATCAAATGGTGAATACACATGTGGCTAGAGGAAGAGGTAGACCTAAGAAGACTTGGCACGAAGTGGTCAAGGGAGACCATTGCGTGAATGATCTCACAGCATATATGATACATGATAGGGTGCAATGGCGTCGTTTGATCCATGTAGCCGACCCCACCTAATGGGATAAGGCTTTATTGTTGTTGTATTTAAATAAAATGAATTGAAAATAGGCCTAGTCAAGCCTCTTTTTGTGTGCGTCTAGTTTATTTGGAGATGAATTAATATATTTTAGTTGGGGTGTGTCCATTGAAGATATCATCCTTACAGATAATTTGGGGCTTTTCCCTATCCATTGTAGATATTTGTAGGAATTTCTCTTTGTATGACTATAGTGTACATATAACAAATGTTGAGATAAATAATAAAATCGGACTTTACGCATTCATATAGCTCTACCTTTTAAATCGTAGGCAAAAATAAGAGATATGAGTGATTCAAATAGGACAATTTTGGTGCAGGAAATAATATCCCAAAATATGACCCACGGCCCAGAGTCAATATCCCAAGTTAGTGTACATTGTAGTGCCAGGAATAATGTCCCAAAGTAGAGTACATTGTAGTGTCAAGAATCACAGATCTTGGGTTATAGGGTCTAGGCTGGATTAATTTTTTTATTTTTTTATCAAACTAAAACTCTAAAAGCATCAAATCATTTTTATTGAAGCAAGTCCACAATGCAATAACAGATGATAATGTCTAGCTTAATAAAATTACACAAATGAATGCATATTACTTACCACAAACACGTCTAGATAGCTTTCCAAGTTCAGCTGTGGCAAGTTTGGCCTTTTTGCCTGCAAATTCTCTTCTTCTAACGGCATCCATGCTCCACTGTCAAGGTAACTCTTAGGAAGAAAGATTACGGTGGTTGAAAGTATTCCATACTAGTTACGTGTTGCAGTTGGGTCCATTCAAATCACTTTCACTTAGTGGATAAATATATGAGGGCATAACATTTGCAATTTGTAGTATAATGAGATACTTCAAATAGATGTGTGTGTGTGACTATATCCATAATCCATATGATCTTTTAATGAAAGCCTAGAGCGCTTCTTTTGATAACATTACTTACAAGGCATCGAATAATTAACACATTCACTTGGCCTTTTAGAAAATGCTAGGTATCAATGTGGCTATTCCAGATCTGCAAAGAGATTAGAGAGTATAGACTTATTTTGACCTTAATTTTTCCCCTTTTTTGCCTTTTGTGAATTGAGATTCAATCAAGTTGTATCTTCTTGTTACTCTTCATTGAATGAATATCATAAATAAAGTGCCTCGACTCTCTTTATGAATCCTTCCTTTTATTTACTTTTGTCCCGCTTCTATTACCAGATTTAGGCAAAATTAATTGGCTTATACTCTGTATGTGTTATGAGTTCTAAATTGGAGAAAATGTATAGGTTGCATTTGATATTTTAATTTAAGATCACATGTGAAGTTCGATAATTCATGAAGTATAATGAAGTTGTTCAAAAAGAAAACAAGCATATTGTTGGAGCAAACTAAAATGTGGGAATCTAAAATGGTTTATATGGAGTGGAAGATATCAGATTTCAATATAATTATAAATGTTACCTCTTGTTCATCTCGTTGGGAGGCACATATCAATACATCCTCTAAAATGATAATAATAGGATCCCATCCTAGTTTTTTCCACGGAATCCTAATACTCAACTTCCCAACATGACCTATAGATTAGAGACAAATGAACTCGATCATTGAGAAAGAGATAATATAAAGTGAATAGCCCTTGAATCTTAAATGTCATCTTTATGAGTAAAATAGGCAGAGTGTAGAAAATGCTCAAGGACATGATGATTTTAGTATTATGATTTTATAATATTGAACCACAATCCCATATCATAGGCAAATCATATAAGACAAAAAGATGTGCTTCTCTGTATGATTTGGAACCCATGCAGGTTATAAACATAAGTACATAACCTAAACTCAGAGCAATAGTTGTAAGTTTTGAGAGTACAATAGTAAATAATGTTTTTAAAGGACTCTACAATTCAGTTCTTATAATGGAACGACTAGCACGATAATAGGCAAGGACAAAGAAACTTTACCTTCTTTTAAAGCAAATGGGAGTTGGAGGTAGTCAAAAGCTTCAAGAATCAGCTCAACATTTTCCAATAATACCTCTTCTGCAACGTAAAAATGATTGTTATAGTTTGTTTTATTTAAATTTCAGATGATTGTAAGTAGCATGAAATGGCTAGAGCAAACTTATATGCCTGTGTGATGAAGTCACCTATCTAAGAGAAAGAGTTTTTCTAATGTGCACCATGCGCACATGATAAGAGCAAATAATGTGCTTCATATTCATGTTTCAAGAAAAAGATAAATAAGATTTACAATTTTTTATTTTTCACTAAAATTAATACACTTGTTGGTTGTTGTTATTATCAAAAATAATTTGAGAAAACTAGAAGTATTAAATGCTCATTTATTGCTGATTATCTCAAGCCCAAGGGAACGCTTTAGAAAAACCCAAACTTTGAGCCTTAAAGCATTTAATCAAATATGAAATGAAACTAATAAATGTTTCGACCAACCCCAATGATTATGATATTCTAACTTAACCTCTAGTTGATTTAAAAGGCACAAAAAGAAATTGACATGCTGGTAAAAACAGATATATTAGCCAATTTCATGCTTATAAGCTATTGCATGTACAATTCCAACCATTTCAGTTTGTTGTTTTTTAAAGGGTGATGCATACAGGGCTCGCCACTCGGGTCCATAGAGCATTGGATTGGATGAGGAAGCCATTATAAAGTCCTAAGGACAGCGGGGCCTTTGGGCTTTGTTTGTAAACAACTATGCACCATGGTAACAAACAAAGCCTGACAAATCCGATAAGGAACCAAGCTCGGTCTTGCCGGACAGCGGCACAAATTGATAAGACCCTAAGTGTGGGAAGAGCCATGTGTGCAAATCTGTAAGTGAATAGAAACTTAAGGGTAGCATACCATGGGCTGCGAACGAGGGTCGTACCAAAACAAGGTTGGGCCTGGCACATTTGATAGAAATGTATGGCCTTGTATGGAAATTGGCGGTTAGCTAATAGTTGTTTTTGTTGGCTGGTTTGAATGGTTGGTTGAGTTAACTATTTTGACAGACTAATTACATTAGCGATTCAGGGGAAAATATTTGCCAAACTTAGTTATTCCTAAACAGTTGTTGTAGATGAATTTAGATTTAAGGACATGTTCTCATTTATATATTTTATATGATATAATTTCGAAAATACAGAGTTTAATCTAATTTATATACTATAAATTGAAATTTATGCTCGTATAATGTAATATGCTTTGAAACATAATCTAATATACGAGTAATTCATAAACATAATATTTATACATACTCTCCCCGTCCCCAAATAAAATTCTAAGTTATTCTTTGTGTTTTGATTTATCATTTCATTAAAAAAAGATAGCCATATCATCTTTAATATTGTAGAACTTTTCATGTAATTTTAAAATATGTAAATTTTATATGTATTTATATCCCAATTTTTTAATAAAAATAAATTTATTTTTTTTATTTTTAACTCGATATAAATTTAATTTTTTTATCCCAATAAATCTGTTTTTTTATTTTATAGGTCCTTTGGGCATATTTTAAATATATACTCCCTCCATCCTGAAATGTTTTTCCCACTTACTATTCACACGGTCAAACTTTGATCACTTTCTTTACCTATTTTCATTAGGTATTTGATAAAATAATATAGTCTTGTCACCACTTGTTTTGTAGAACTTTTGATGTAGTTTTTAAATATATAAATTTTATTTTTTAATTTTACACCTACAATCAAATAAATTGAATTAAAAATAAAGTCGGTCAAACTTCGTAAACAGAACCGGGGGTAGGACGGAGGGAGTAATAAGTATTTGTTTATTTATTCAATATAGAAGGACATAATAATAAAAAATTATATTTTGTCTAATAGCCAGCCCGAAATGCTACTCCCCTGACTTATTGTATTTTCGCTTTTCGGACATCAAGAGCTAACTCCCAAACACTGCATTAGGCTCTTTGACCGTCAAAGCATCAAAGTTAGTCAAAACAGCCAAAAGCCATTAGCCATCTCAAAAGCCAAAATCCAAAATATATACCTCCTCGGCTCCTCCACCCGGTGGAGGACTGGAGGGGGGATCGGTCTCTATTCTCACCATTGCAATGCATACTTGAGCTTTCTCTCTCTACTCTCTCTACCCCCTTGGTTTAGAATCTATCAGGGACACGCGCGCGCACACACACACACTGTAGTAAAATACTCATAATATGTATATTTTTAATATAAAATTGGGACAATCCGGTGAAGAAACAAAGAAGAATATCTTAACCCCCTCCATGTCATAATTTTGTTCCTTCTTTTCTACTCCTTATTTGGAAACTGTTTCTCAATACTCCAAACAATTTTTAAACACAGAGTATTCACTTTATCAAAAAGCCAGCCTAAAACATGAACACAATTATGGGAGGAAGGAAGTAACTAATGTAGGGTAGTAACGATTGCCAACAATTAAATCAATTTCCCCTGAAAGTGATCAAAATAAATAGATTATCCGAGTAGAAAGAAAGTGCATTGCTTTTTTTTTCGAATGATGAGTAAGATACCGTTCCATAGAGTGATCTTGAGCTGCTCCTTTTGAATATCGCGAATATATCGGCCAAGGTACCCCAACAGCAGCTGCCGAACTAGACCTTCAAACATGTCTCGGCGAAAAGCTGTGCCGATTGTCTCGGTTGTGGATGACGACTCGGCTGCGGAGCCGCGCCTTTCCTTTCTCTCCCGGTTGCAATGACACTTCACTGCAATCCCTCTATATTGTGAATGAATCTATGATAACCCTCCACCCCCAGTACTCTACAGTCAAAATAGGGAGTAATAAATTACACAATTATGTTTAGCTTTATACCCAAATGTATACCACCATCTTTTCCTCCACACATTTTTATTTGAGTTTTTATTTACTTAATTTTTTTGAATTTTTTTGTCTTTTTTAGTGGACAAAGAAATGGTGGGGATATTTAGGGTACACCAAAGGTGTACCCCTAGCATTTTTCTTAGCTTGATTGCTGAGTTTAGTGTACCGCAGAGATGTATCAACATTTTGTATTAATGTAATGCTAATTTTTGTTAACACACCAATACAATACATTGTATCAGTGTAAATTTTTATTAATGCATCAATATTTTGAAATTTATGGGGTAAAAGACTCTAATAAAGGTGAAATTTTACAGATCGCGGCCCAATTGTCCACCGCCGACTTCTTCCAAACAACAACGATCCCCTACGCTTGCACTCCACCGGAGCCCGTGTGCATATCCAGTTGGCCGTGCCCGGGCCATTTTACGTCGTATCCATTGAACCTGTCGGTTTCTCCAAGTGCTGGCGAGAAGTTGTGAAGAGACGGCCTAAAAGAGAATGCTGCGCGAGAGAGTCAAACGAGCCATACTACCTCCTGCTCAGGAGGTAACTTAGCTACGCCATCGACTGTGATTGTGCTTTGATCCATTCATATATTAGTTTTTTTTTCAATTGCTTGAAATCGAATTTTTATCTGGTGTTTTATGGTTTACTCTATTGATTCGGTTCCTGTGGTCTTTTTTGATGCCAATATTCACATTGGCTGCATGTGTAGAAAGCTTCACCTCTATCATTAGTACATGATTTCAGTGCTAGTATTGACTTAATGTCGGTTGTGATTGTAGAATATTGACAAGTTAGACAATGTAATGAAAGATGGAAACTACTATGGAGCTCAGCAAATGTTCAAGTCTATCAGTGCCAGGTTTCATTATTTACATGATTGCTTTCTTGAGATTTGGTCCTGCTAGTTGCTTCTAGATTTTCTACTCAACACATCCTCAATTTCCAAAATGTGGTGGCTGGTTCCAGATACGTGTCCACTGAGAGGTATACCGATGCTTTGGATCTTCTTCAGTTTGGTGCGTGTGCACAATTGGAGAATGATCAGGTAATGATTTTTCTCTGCTACAGGCGTATTGTTGATATGGTTTGTAATTACACAAGTGTTTTGAATTCGATTGAAATTTGTTAATTCGTTTTGCAGGTTACTTGTGGGGGAGAGCTTGCTGTTTTGTTCGTGGAAACCCTTGTAAAAGGAAAAATATCTTTTGACGGTGACACTATTGGTTAGTAATTCCTTAATTGAAACAAGACGATGCAGATATATGTATTTCTATGCATTTTGCACTCAATTGGTACAGTAGTTGTATATAGCTATTCACTACAGTAAATTGTACACATAGGAAGTATTGATGTGCCTCACAATCCTCACATTTTACCTTAATTCGGCCTTCTCTCCAAACATCTTTCTCACACATTTATTTCTGATTGTGCACACCCACCTATCATTTATTGGGGAAACTTTCGAAGGCTAGAGTGTGAAGAGCTTAAGCAAGATTTTTTCTTAAACTTTGGCACTACGCAATTGGAAAGACTTCCTATTGCTGTCTTAAGGACTTCTCAATTTTCAAATGTATAATAGCGCTTCATTAATTGTATCCATTTATGCACTTGGTTATGATATTTTTTAATCTTTAGACCGCGTCAGGAAAATCTACAAGAAGTTTCCTAAGGGTACAGTGCCACAACACTTGGAACTAGCTGATGATGATGACATGCAAAAAGTAACAGAAGCCCTCACCGCTGCAAAAACACGAGTAGAGGCTTGTTCATCCTTCCTAAAAGCTGCCATCAAGTGAGTCTCCATCTCTCTTCGAGTACAAATCAATTCTCTTTCATTAAAGTTTTGATGCAGGGAACTATTTATAGGGATTTTACTTGCTTTGTGTACATGTGTTTTTTGTTTGTGAAATATATCTATAGAAGTAGTTTATTGATGAATTGTATACGGGGTATTACTTATCAATTTGCAAGTGTGCAAAGTCATCATAATTGCACGGCTCAAACATCTGTTCATAAAATAGATGAAATTAGGTTTACTCCAGAGTTAAAGAGGTAGGTTGTAGCAGCTGGAATTAGGCTTGTTACAGAGCTAAGCGGTAGGTTTAGTGGTACTGCTGTTAAAGTGGATGATTAATGAAACAAGTGACAAGTGTAGTTCATGATAATGAACAAACTATATGAATGATTGATGACTCAATGAAGTCTCTACTTTCGAGTAATAAGGGTAAGGTCTGCTTACACACACCCTATTTTTATAGGATTTTACTGGGTTGTTGTTGGTGGTGGTGGTGTCTCAATGAAGTAATAGTTGTGAAATAAATTTCTATTTCACAAGAGATTACTAACTCATATTATTGATAAGATAAAAAATTTACCCCATGATGGATCCACATTCACTTGCCTTAAAATTTTCATCACAATCTTGCCCTTTCCCATCCTTTTGCATCTCTTAGTCTTGTACTTCATTTTAACTACATACTTTCAGGAATGGTCATTTTACTTGTCAATATTGATGGTTTCAACCCCCACCACACTACAGTGCTTTCATTTGTTTTACCAAAAAAGTTTTTTTCGTTAACTTATTACGCATGTAAACGACTCCCCTAACTTTTGTTTCAGGTGGTCCTCAGAATTTGGAGCACATAAGTATGGATCTCCGGAGTTTCATGACATGTTGGCTGAATATATATACTCAGAGTCCCCTGAGGTGGTGCGTGTCTAGGACACTAGTATTGCTCCATTTCCTCTCTTGTACATCATCCTAATATACTGATATGCGTGTGCAAGTGTATTTGCAACTTTGCACACATAAGATGATGAAAATATTTAGTTGCTCCTTGTTTCTTTGACTACTACTTCATGTAGTATTACAAAGTACATACTACAGTGCATTGATGCTTCATGTTCATTGGGCATCCAATATACTCATGGTTCATACGTATCAGGACATGGGCAAAGTATCTTTCCATTTTGTCAGAGGAAAGAATCCAAAGAAGTTTGTTTCAACTCTAATCAATTTCATGGGAAAGGTATGGTTTCACTTTCATGAAAAAAATCCTTATCTATATTTAGCTGGAAAATGCACAATTTTAATAAGTGTAAGCTGCGTTGGTCAATATGCAGTGTTACCCCGGAGAAGATGATTTGGCTATTGCTCGAGCAGTATTGATGTAAGTATGATTGGAATGTAGATAAGTGTCAGGGTATTAGTTACTGCTCTTGTTTCCATGGCTTCCATGTATTGAACAGTAGTACCATCATACCAGTCTACCTTACTGGAGTTCTTACTAATGACTTTCTTTATGTTCTAGGTATAATTTACAATTACATCTTCAGTTTCCCTAAAATACTAAGCCTTCACTTTCACTATTCACAGGGTCAATATATAGCGTCTTTCTTTAGTTATTTACTTTAATCATTTATAGGGATAACATAATCATGTCACCTCGTGTTCTGAAGAACCTTTGACGTAGTTTTGAGACATGTAAGTTCTATTTTTTTAATTTTGGACCAATATGCAAAATAATGTTGCTCAAACATCGTATACTGTCGACTGAAGTTTATTTGGGAATGGGCGGAGTACTCCCTCCATCCTAAGATGATGTTCCCGTGTTGGTTTACTATACAAAAGAACAATAATATTACCCCAGTGCCTTAAAGGCTCCCGCCCATTGCGGGTTAAGGGGGTCGGATGTATGCAGTCTGACCCCTTTGTTCATAGAGCGGCTGTTTCCGGATGACACATGATGAGCGTGGAAAGTTGCATTGACTAACTGTTACTTCACTATTGAAAAAGAAGTGCAGACAGATGAAAGAACCATTTTGCTTTATTCCATCAAACCCAAAGACAAAAATAGTGAATCTTTGGTTTACTATGTTTGACCAAATTTATTTTTACTTCAATTTATTTGAAAATTGGTATTGTATTAAAAAAATAAAATTTATGCATGTAAAAACTACATCAAAAGTTTTACAAAATACCCCCTCCGTCCAAATTTAGTATTCCCACTTTCCTTTTTGGTCCCTCAACAAATTACCTTCCCATTTCCTTTTTTCGCAAGAAAATATGGTAAAACACCTCTTTTACCCTCCACTCTAAACAAGTCATCCTAATTTCTCTCAATGTGGCACCAAATCTCTGATCTGCTCTTCTACTCTCACTTCTAAATTAATCATCTACCACTGCCGTTCAATCTTACTCCTCGTCTTCTCCAATTTGCTCTTTTTCCATAGTCTTCCTCTTCCATTCTCATCATCATCTTCTTCCAGTCATTATCCTGAAGCTTCATTTTCGCACAGTAGACTCACCAGTCAATGCGAATGCTCAAATCTGTTCATCCACCGCCGTCAATTGTGCAGATCTGCTCATCCTCCGTCGGCATCTACTCGCTGGATGGGTATAATCCATGATCGATTTGAACAAATCTAGCCCTAGAATGATAATTGATGGTAATCCATTTTCAATCACCCGCTTTTGATTTGAACGAATCCATAGATTGGATGCATCTCTGCTAGCAGCACCTTAGATCCACTCTTCCGCCACCGTCAAAACTTTGGATCTGCTCCTCTGTCGCTGTGTTGTCTTCAACAAGAACATGTAGAAGATATTCATCATTGCCCAGGTTTTCTTCAACGAGAGGATGGCAGCAACTGGAGCAGCAACTGGAGCGAGAGAGCTCATCTGTGGACCGTGGTGATGCCGGAGAGTCCTCAACGGTGGTGTTGGGAATGGCAGATGGCCCACGATGGTGGAGAGACGTAATGAGGGTATAATTGGAAAGTCAATGTAATTTTTATCACACATTAATACGTGTGTCTGGTCAAACCGGGATCATTAAAGTTGGACGGAGGGAGTAAGAGATGACATCATTATATTATTTTATCAAATGAGTAACCAAAATAGGCAAAGAAAGAGGTTAAAGTTTGACCCCGTCAATAGTGAATGGGAACTTCATTTTGGGACAAAGGTTGTATTATTTGTTTTTTTAACCTTTGATGGAATGATAGATTGGATATTAGCACTTTTATGTGGGCTTGTGATCCATTCTAGTTAATGAAACTAATAATGAACTTGTGTCATATGTTCTCCCTCGAGTGCTCACAAATGTAACTTAAGAAGACCAAATGCAAGTACAACTACTAGTGGTGTCTAAAGAATCCATTCGCCAATCATCCATCTATTCCATTCGGCCCATAATTAAAAATTTAAAGTAATGGATGGAAGGTATTCCTTCCATCTGTGTTATGTTGATGGTTAATGTTTAATCCATCGGATTGCATCTGATTTTTTTTAAATATTCATTGAAAGGTGGTACTATCACATTTATTAATGATATATTTTTCTACCCATTACTATGTACTCCCTTTTTCCCTAAATAAAAGCACCACTTTCCTCTTTGTGTTGTCTCTAAAAAAAATTCAACACGGAAAGAAATGTGTGGCACACAACAATCCTCTTTCTTCTAAACAAATTTCAACCACACTTTTTTGGACTTCAGGAAGGTCAAACTTTTACTTTCTCCTGGGGACGGAGGAAGTATTTGTTAAAGAATCAATATATGCATTGCTCAAAAGATTCTTTAAGAAAATGGATGGGATAGAATTTAGCATACGCATCCCTGAAAAATGTTTTAATGGGATTGGATTTTTAATGGATCATATATGGGTTGATAGATTGTTATTAATGCACTCATGATAACCTGTAGTGTTTTTCTTCCAATCATTCCATTAGTCACCTTTCTTATGTGAGTCTTTGGCATCTGCTTTATATGACAAATGCAGAATCGGTGAAAGAACATAACAACCATTTATCTTTTCCTATATGCAACCAAGACTTGGTACCTCGGATTTTTCTTACTTTTAAGTTTTATGAACTTAAGCCTGGGTAACGTGCGAGATGCCAACTATATAATTGATGAGTTAAAGAGTCTTGTAAAGCTCATTACGACCATTTATCTTTTCTTATATGCAATCAAGACTGGTTACTTTGGATTTTTTTTACTCTTAGGTACTTAAGCCTGGGTAACCTGCGAGATGCCAACTATATAATTGATGAGTTAAAGAAGCAAGTCAACTCTAATGAGATTGAGTTTCCTGACTCAGAACTAATGCAATTCATCAGTTATATTCTTTTGACGTAAGTGGCTACTTTTTAGCATTATTTGCTTCCTAACATCTTATGGATGAGAGTTTCTTTTAAGACTTTGCAGGATCCCCCTAAGATAATGTCCTTCATCCACTTTCAAATTTGTGTGAAGATAATTATTCATCTAATTATTCTAGATTTTGTCTTTCATTTTTGGCATTTTTATTTTTTTACATAATGAATTGCTTGTAGTAAACTGATATTCCTCGCAAAACTACAAGGTAGTTGCAAAGATTTTCATTTATAGTCTTATATAGACGGTATCAGCTCACTCTCTTACCATCTGATTATAAGAGCACTGTTTTTGTCAATATTGAATAGAGACTTTTGAAGTTTAGTATTTTGGTGTGTCGGGCACATTTAGACACATACAAATTTTCTAAAAACATTTCAAGATGGTTTTGATTAATATATAAAGATATCTAAGTGAAGAAGCTTTTGATGAAGGTGATTCCTTCTGATAAATCATTTTTCAAGAATTAATCTGGATACAAAGAAACCTATATTAGCATCACTTGACTATTTAAAATATTGAGACCAGTTATCAACATTAGATATTAGAGTTATACACACACATGTGTGTGTGTGTGTTTAAACCAAAAGCATACTCATCATCCTCTCCTTTTTATGTTTGTATTCTCCAATGAGGCTAAAGAGGGAAAGAAATGTAAAGCTGTTTGCTAATGCATTTGATTTACAATGCAGGTTGCAGAGAGATGCGTTCCCTCTATTTCATAGGTTGAGGCAATGCTTCAAACCGAGTATAGATAGAGATCCAACATTTAATGAGGTCTGCAATATCTTCTACTTTGAAATGCTTTTTCATATTAAGGATACTTTTCTATAGCATGCTTAAGTCTGATTCAAATCTCCTGTCTCATCTTTCCATCTTTCCCATTACAATGTTGAACAACTCATTCTGATTGGATTGTGCATATGAATTACTTCCTTTGTTTCTAACAAGTGTAAAAAAAATTCCTTTGCACATTAGTTGAGGAAAAAAGCAAAAGCAACTCAATTCAGAGCAAGACTAATCTGAATAGTCTCCTTTTGCTCATTTACTTAATTACATTTTAATGTCATTCTTACTTGTAAATTGTCATAATAAAGTTGGGTCATTTGGGTGGATAAGAGTAAAAGCAGAATAAAATGCTTCTTAGAATAATATCATTGCATTGTCATCCATGCAACACCTGGAAGTGGAGATTGCAATTGGTACTATAAAAAGGTTGAGAATCAAATGTGACAAAAAATTACAATTGTCAGATCATGCTTGCATTCAATCCTCATTAGTCTAATTATATGCTTGGTTGTGTAGTTGTTAGACGAAATAGCACAGAAATTTTATGGAGTACAACGCCAAAGCTCACTGCAAGGAATGCTTGGAGATTTCTTTAAGGTAAGCATTCACTTTCTGCATACGAAGTTCATTTTTCATGCAATTCCAAAAAAAATGGGGTTCAACAACAACAACAACCCAGTTAAATCCCACAAGAGTAGGGTCTGGGGAGGGTGTGTGTACGCAGACCTTGCCCCTACTCGAAAGTAGAGAGGCTGTTTCCAAAGAGACCCCCGGCTCAACATCGAAAGTTGCAGTGTTTGACTAACTGCTACTTCATTAATTAAAGAAGCGCAGATAGTTTAGAGATCCATTTTGATTTATTCCATCACACCCCAAAGCCAAAAATGGTGAAATTTTGACTCCATCGGAGATGATGGAAAATCCAAAAAAAATGGGGTTCATAATCATAAAAACTATTTGTTAAATTTACTTCATCGAGCAAGTCAACTGAAAAATATACTCCCTTTGTCTGGATTTTGTTGTCTGCTTTCTAAATTTGCTCCGATTTAAGGATTGTGATATAACAAAAAATCCAGAGGTCCACTAGGCTTGTCGAGAAGTGGAACGACACGGAAGATACTTTTTCTCTCAATGGAGTTATGCAGTTTAAAAAAATTTATTCTCCAAATATAATAGAGTAAATTTCATAAATGGTCTTCAGTTTTTGAAAGCTATTCCATAAATAATCCTTTAGGCCAAATATGACTATAATTTTTCCACAAATAGTCCATGAAAGACCACTTATGGAATAATTTTCAAATATTGAGGACCATTTATGTAGTATCTTAGAATTGTGTACTAAATATGGAAAATCACCTGTAAATAGAGACCATTTGTGAATGTACTCGATATAATCTCTCTCTCTCTCTCTCCGTTTTAAGTAGGGGTATCTCCCCATACCTTAATGTCGTGGGATTCTACTGGGTTGTTCTTGTTGTAAAGTGCAAGGGTAATACTCCCTTTGTTCCATTGAGATTTTCCAAACATGATCTAGCACATAGATTAAGAAATTCTAAAATTGTATATTTGAAATTTGTTTAAAAGATAGGTATTGTGGAATTCTGTCGTCGTGACAGATGAAAACGGAAGGTTTGAAAATTCCAGCAGGGCGGACTTAAAAACTTTCAAGTCATTAATCATACTTTGTTTTCACTTTATTCATTAGAATACCAAAATTTCCCCCCATAGTTAACTTATTTTTGATTTTCTTAAGGCTTTTTTTCTAAAATCCCTTGCGGTTTTTCCCTCTATTGTATTCCTAGATGATGGGGGGTCAATAGTCGACACAAGCTTTTGCCTTTGCTAGGGAGCATTTACTACACCAGTTGGGTTCTTGAAATCATGTGCAATTCAGAACTCTATCTGTACTTGAATGGTGGGGGCATTATGTTCGAGGTTTGTCCTTTTTTCCCTCAAAAACTTATACTATCACTCCTAGCATGGATCACAGTTTTTCGGGGTCTTCATGGAAACAACCTTTCTACTCCTAACACGAGGTAAGGTCTGGTATATCCTCTCCCACCCCCACCCCGAGGCTCGGACAGTACTCTTTGGTGGGATATAAAGTGGGGTTGTTTGTTCGTTTGTAATTATAATAAATATTCTACTGCATGCAAACATCTTTCTGGTTATGTGATTGGTTCTATAGCGCAAAAGTGAAGTGTATTCTCTTTTATATGTGGCTTTTCATGTGGGGATTTGTTTGAAAACAATATTAATTGATATTTACTGGATTTAAGTTTAAATGTAGCTATGTTTCGATTAAAACTTCAGTTTTGGTCCACATTGTTAAGGTTTGTGTAATGTAACTTCAATTTGAATGGTTTAATAAGATTGTTAGGTCTTTTTATTATTACGGAGTAATAGCTATATTGTGTACATTATTTTATTATGTACGCTCTCCGATTATTAGGTCTTTTTTGAAAAGGAATAACAATTCCATTACCAAATATTACAAAGTATTAAAGTTCAAATCATCACAAATATGGGTAAGAAGGACAAAAATTCACTCTAAAAGTCCGTTTGGTACACGGAATTGACAGAATTAGAATTGAATTGGGAGTTGAAATTCCATAGAATTGATTTTGATGAAGTTGAGTTTTTTGATTGATTTTTAACACTATCAATTCCAATTTCACATATTTTTGTGCTATCAAACAGTAGAATTGAAATTATTGTCCTCAATTTCAATTTCATAGTTTGAATTTCGTGTATCAAACGGAGTTTAAGATATCAGACTCAAAGTTAGAAGCTTAGGTCTTAGTTAGCATTTATTATGTGATGATTCACACTTAATTCTTGGAGGAATTAGGAGGGACTCATTGGGTCTACATCCAGCATGGACTCAGGCTTGATGATATTGAATGAGCTTGATTTCCCAATTTGATGATTGGTCGGATCGGAACCAACTGGGCCAAATAAGGTCCAACTTTTTTTTATATTTTATTTCTTTTATTTTTTAAGTTTATCTCTCTCATTACAAGTAATGCATTACAAAAAAAAAAGAAACATTTTCAAAAAAAAATGAGCTTTAAAAAAATTATCATTTTTTGGCACGAATTTTTTTGTCACTAAAATACACCAAATTTATTTTTTTTGTTAATTCACGGCACGCTGTCAATATAAGAGGTTAAATATAACAACAGAATATCATGGCGAACCCAATAATGTTTACATGTTGTCACCAATTCAAATACATTGAGATGGAGAGAGTATCGAGTAAGTGTACATGAAAACTTGTTTTAAAAAGATTTTAAAAAAAAATTGTATGTTTTTATGGGCTTCCCATTTAATTCTAAAAACAAACACATTCTTTCTTCGTTTGTCGAACATGAGTTCATAAGAAGAGAAAATTCTATAATGACTCACATTACGTTCATGGTTCTTCTTTTATGAGTACTTTTCCATATTTAGTCCTTTTTGACCTTTTATTATACTTGTGCTAATATGGGAATTACAAATGTAGTTTTACATCGATCTCATTTCCAATGATATATTTCGATGTCTACTCGATGAATAACACAACAATAATGAGTTAATGACTATAGCCGCGGACTAAAATTTTGACTAGATACAAAATTTGTAAACTATGGTTGCAGTGGATTGCGATTATAGTTGACGAATGATACGTCAACAATGACCTCTTGCATTGGCTATGCCAAGAAGGATATATGATCGTAATAAAATTACTCCTGCGTCCTAAAACTATCTTTCCAGTTACTATTCACACGGTTAAACTTAAATCATTTTCTTTATCTATTTTTGTTAGTTATTTGATAAAATATTATAGTCTTGTCACCTCTTGTTTTGTAGAACTTTGATATAGTTTCTAAATATACATTTCTTTTTAGTTTTACACCTACAATCAAATAAATTGAATTGAAAATAAAGTCGGTCAAATCTCGTAAACACAAACAGGAAGATAGTTTTATGGCGGAAGTACTATTTTTTTTAGCCCTCAATTTTATCACCAACAAGGCAGATGATCGAAAAAAGGACGAAGAGCTTCTTCTCTTTGCCCGATCTGAATGATTCTAATCTGATTGAAATACGTTCAAATCTAGACTAATCTGATCTAAATATTGTTATATTTAACGTCATTTTTTATTTGAACTGAATTGAGTCCAATAAGAATATGTACATCATTCGTTCTAAATTAAATTACATGTTTACTATTCATACGGTTAAACTAAATTTTCCCTTCTTTTCTATTTTCATTAGTAATTTGATAAATAATATAGTCATGTCACTACTAACTTTGTACATTTTTTTATGTCGTTTTTAAATCTTTAATTTTTTAAATTAATTATACACCATTTTTCTTATAAAATAGTTTGAAAATAATTTTTGTAAAACATTGTAAAATGAAACAGGTGATTTAATTTGGGATAGAAGGAGTAATAAGTAATACGGAGTAATAAGTAAGTTGAAGCAGAGACCTCTTTAAGTATTTTCCCAGATCAGTCCTCAATAAGTTTAATTACTTATGTAGTCTTCTATAAATGAAATTTACTCCGTATTTTCTAGATAGTCCTTCGTAAATAATGTTACTCAAATAATTATTAATTGATAGGTATTTTGGTATTTTTTATCAGTTAAATTTAGAATAGGTTCTAAAAATGATGATCATTTCTAATATAAGTGCTTTCCCCGAAATAAATTTTTATAATTAAAGATGTGTATTTGATTCAAATTTTAAAAGATTTTTTTATATTTTTTAATAGTTCATGGATTATGTATAATCAATGTATTTTTTTTAATTTTACATTTAGTTGTATAAAAATTATCATTTTGAGAACATGCTTTTAATTTAGATGATAGAAATATGAAAAGACTTTTTAATTAATCATGATTTGAGTAACATTATTTAAGAAGTACTTGAGAAATTTGAAAAATACCTAATTACAAAGAATTATATTAAAAATTTAATCAAAACTGAATATGGAATGGTACCCATAAAAAAGACCACATATAATATTTATTACTCCTTTTTTAAGGTATCATGAAAGTAGGTTTCTTTTTTTTTTTGTGGAGAGATAATTTTAAATAAAATACCATAGTCTTTTTTTGAACGCGGAAGGTGCAACAGAGCCGTAGCCGCCGGCGGGTAGAAAGGACCAGAGAAGAGATGAAGTTCACGGTTAAGGCCTGGAGCAACGGGAAAGCTCGAGCCGGGGTTTTGCAGTTCAGCAACTGCCCCTACTCCGTGGACACTCCGGCACTCCTCCTCACCACTCGCAAGGGGCTGCCGGTTTTCATTCCTCCCGATCACCTTCCTTCCCTCCCCTCGCCGGACTCTCACCTCCTCCAGATTTCTCCGATTCACTTGTATGTTCTTCTGCACTATCCCTCTAAACATTAAAGTTTTTTCGCGCTTTTCGTTGCTTTGCTTTGCGTTGCAGGGAAGGTGTTTGATGATTTGTCTATGTTATAGCATGTTTCCTCCGTCCCAATATTTAGTTGAAACCCAGCTAAATTTGACCGTTAATTTCTCTTGAAGTACATAGTAAAATTGATACTCCCTATATCAAAACTACATATTAAAATGAATCCAATTATACTAAATTTACAAACCCATAATTTTAGGAGAGAGAGTATCAAAATTACAAACCATATTTTTTGTTTCCGTCACGAACATGACTATATAAAAAGTATACTTGCAAAATTTTACTTTATATTATTAGAGAAATTAACTGTCAAATTATCAAAATAACCGTCATTCTGGGATAGGAGAATCTGGCTGGTTGGTAACGATTGTCTTCTTTGTTTTTTTCCAGCTTGGGATGTGTATCTAACAAAGTCGTATCCGACATTGGAGGGCTGCACCAGATGCTTGGCTTACATGGCCGAATATTATCAGCTGTTCCCAGGGATTGTATTATTTCCATACCAGAGCACTCCGGCTCTAACAGGGATGGAGCCTCGTTTGAAACTCCTTGTGGTCGTCGTTTGGTGTGATTTTATTCGTATCTCTCCTTCTCTCTCTCTGGTCTAGCAATTATAGTGTGTGGTGAAACTTGTGAGTAAACTGTATTACAGTTCTCATTATAGTTACATTCTGCAGATAAAACCTGCAGAATACATGGAAATGATTTCTTGTATGAGGCCAAACATGTGGACTACTTTAGCTGATGAGGTACCTGCTTTTGTTTCGGAGAAGAGGAACAGAACATCTGTTGATCGCACTTTGAGATGGCTTGATGATTGCCTCACTTCAAACTTGGTAGAACCTTATTCTTTTTACCTATTAGTCGAATGCATAAACTTTGCATCTTTCCCTGCCTTTTGTAGTTAGGGTTAAGGCCTCTGTACACCCACCTCCTAAACTTACTTGTGGGAGTCATTGAGTAGGTTGGTGGTGGTGGTTTCATTGTATAGATCTTGCTTCTTTAGCATGTTGAAATATATATTGTTTTTTTCTTTTACTCCCATCCAAAAAAGAATTCAGTTTCATCCACTTTTTGTCCCAAAAAGTCATGATTTATCAAATGAAATTATTCTTAAAAAGAACTCACAGACAAGTTGGATATAATAAATTTAGCTAACCAAAAAAAATAATTAAAAGCAACATTTTTGTAAAGTTATGACACTTCTATCTTCCCAAAATTTAAAAGGCATGCTTTGGGTCTTCAGTCAAACAAATTAGTTTTTGCGGATAGGGGCAGTATTATAGCTGTTCCGTAGTCAGTTTTTATAACTAAAGACGTGCTTTGGTGTCTTGTCATGGTTTAGTTTTTCCTGATGCAAATCATGATCTTCTTTTTTCTAAACTTGACCGTCAAACGGCCCCGATCCAACCAACACAATGATTGCATTCACTTGAGAGTAATCATATTGGGACCATCCAATCTCAATCAGACATAGCAAGATGCACAATAGTGTGTTTCATACTTTCATCCTGTTAATCAGTAGCTTTGCAAGAGTCGAAATATTCTTAGGCAATTGTATTATATGATTCTTGTAAAAACAAGAACTGAATGTTTCATTTGCATTTGTTCCTATGAGGGAACAACATGTATTATGATCGACCTGTGTTCTATAAATTAAAGTATCCACATTCAAATGACGTATAATCTAATTTACAGAATAACTTTTTAGATTTTATCTAGTACGGATCCTTGTTATATTGGTTTCTAAACTGATAAAAAAAGAATTAAGGAATGTTATAATTGGTGAGGTGTAGACAGGTTCAACTGTTTTTGGCTCTATTGTTGGAGGCTCAAGTATTGAAGAAAGACAACGTTGTGCTCAAGAAGTTGCGAAGCGAAATGTTTCAGGTTCTTACATTTTCTATTATTATTATGCTTATTTAGTTATACATTTTCAGGTTGTGTTATATTAAAATTCAATTCTTCAATTTTATCCCCTTGTTATACTTAATTCACTTGAAATGAACATTAAAATCTGATGAAATTCTACTAAGTTTCTTCTTAATTAGACAGAAGTTACAAAAAAGAATGTTGCCACGGCTACCATTCACACGGCTTTTTATTTTTTTGCCCCTTTTGTTTCTATCGGGGGTCAAGATGAGTAAAAGTTCTATTGGTTATCCTAAAATTTTCTGGATCATGATGCACATGCCTATCTGCTACTAATGTTAAAACTTGAATAATAAGGGGCCCATGCATGTGATCACAGGCCAGTAATATATTTGAGAGGTTACCTTTTTATAGCAAATGTATATCATAATTTAATCACTGCTCTTTCCCTCATAGTTGTCACGGCGCCAAGGCGAGGCGCGGCATCAGTGTACTGCTATTATGCCGAGACGGCTAGGCACCCGCCTAGGCAATAGTTAGGTGACCTAGGCGGAAACATATTAGATATCAGGATTGATTTACATTAGTATGACTAAGGCCGTGTTTTGAAAACAGCATTTGGGATAGCTTTTGGCATCTTTGACTGACTTTGGCTTTTTTGACCAAGCGAACCGCCAAAACCATTGTTTGGCTAATGGCTTTTTCACTTGGCATTTTGATCCGAAAAGCCAAAATCTGAAATGCCAAGGTGAGTAGCATTTGGAATTGGCGGTTAGGAAAAATATTTTTTTAAAAATCATTTTTGTTGAAAGATATTTTATAATATATGTAAAAAATAAAAATAAAAGTTAAAAAAATTAAATACGAAAAAATAAAACGAAATTTAAAAAAATTATATTTATAATTCATTAAAAAATTTATATTTATAATTTATTATGAATTAAATGAAATTAAAATTTAATATTCCATATAGTAAAGATTTAATTTTTACATGTAAAAAAATGAAAAATAAATATCATGTCTA